CTGGGGGCACACTGACCTTTTCTGGAGCACTCAATGTCAAAACCAGGTGAAGGTTATCTACTCAATGTTCAGTATGCCATAAATATTTGATTTATGGTTGTTTAAATGACTGTCAACAATGATGATGTGTTCTCATAAGGAGTAGGGCGGATGGGCATTTCTATCAACTCATTGATGATTGCGGCACCATTTTCATTTTTAGAATAATCACCCAAGTGTTAAAGTCAAATACAAATGTATATTAATCTAATCATTTTCAGAATAATAAAAGCTTGATTTACCTATGATACCAGTTGTTGTGTTGTAGGAATACAAAGCAAAAATAGACTGTTCTTGAATGTAAATACCAGCAACATTGAAATGATTAAATAAAATATCTGCAAGTTTCACCTGTGAAAATAAAACTAGACTTTACTTGACTTAAATAATAATAAGAACTAGTACCACTATATGTAGACATAAAAATGGTTTACTTTACAAATTTATATACGGTATATGGTTTACGACTAGGATAAATCATGTAATACTATACAAAGAGACATATTCTCAAGACATGCATGTGATATACATCCTAGCATTTGATTGGTTCAAGAGTGCATGTGATACAAATCCCAGTATATGATTGGTGCATGGGTGCATGTGATATAAACATAGGTGTGAAATCTCAGCATACTACTGTCTAAATAATTCTCAGAATCACTGTAAAAATACTAAAAGCAGATATAACAGATCTAAAATTTGCAATGCCATAAAATTGTAATTGATTAAATCTTGTGGCTAAAAACAAATTTGGTTCCATATTGTCAAGTTTACTATTATTATTGTTAAAGCAGCCCAGGTTATAAATAAACCATGGAATTCATTTGTAACGACAGTGATAACTGAATTCTTTTTAAATTAATAATTAAGTTTCTTTCACTTACCTTTCCTTCAACTCCGAGATTTCTATGGTTACCATGACAACTGTAAATCTGGAAGGATCAATACCAAGCTCATCAAATACTTTCTCCAGGATATCAGCTGTGGCTTCCAGATTTAACCCAAGCTGAAAAATCAAAATGTAGTAAGAATTGGTTTATTATCTCGGGTGAAAAAAACACAATGATTGGTTTATTATTTCTAAAACCCCATCACGCCAGATTTCATAAGGACGTGAATCTGCTTTATATAAAATATTTATAAATTTCAAATGCCAGTTGAAACCAACTTGACCAATCACAAGACTAAGTGGATGAGCACTGCCCACATAGAACTCTCTTGACACTCCTGGTTGCTTTTGTCAAACAATAATGGTGCTACCGGTACTTGTATTTGTGTTCTTTTAAATTTATTTCAGTGATTCCTTCACTAATTTCGTGCATTTCAAACAAATTTGATGGGATCTAGCTTTTGCGTTCATGGCAGTAAATCTACCAATGATTGAAAGACTTGTAGTTAATGGGCGTTACCAAAAAGTTTCTTTAGCTGAAGCATAATCTTTATATATAAATGAAGCACAAGCACTTTGGGGATAAAGTATTTTATGAACATTTATAAATGTCCATGAAACAAATTCACACATAGTATTTTTCACCAAAAATTACAAAAATATTTGCCAAAAATAGAGTATAAATGATATGGTCATGAAAAGAACAAATCTGACAGAGGTCCACTCAAGGTACCTACACACTAATATTAAAGCAATTGAGCTGGTAAATTTTTAAGAAGTCGAAAATGCAATTGTTGGCGGACAGCGGACGGACATACAACCATGGACAATCACCTACAGTATATATGAATAGCTCCGCTCTGTCATTTATGATGACAGCGCAGCTAAAAAAACAAAGATAGTACAATGTAGTGAATAAGATGAAATAGAAACAAATTACCCGATCCATTTTAACTGAATTCCTTATAGGAAAACTGATAGTTGAATTTTCTCTGACATGCGGTGATAAAGCCTCATATCCGTATAACTTCTTGCTGGGGTCATGTTTGTTTTTCGCACATATTGTCGGAAAGAATATCTGAGGTGCCGTGATTGGCCCATCCCCTTCTGGTAATAGACCAGCTCGTACAGAGCACGTACCAATATCAACTATTACTAAAGACTGTGTGCAGGAAAACAAACAAAAAGGTGAGTACACTCTTGCACAATGAACAGAGAGATGAGAGATATGTCAACACCTTGCTTCTCATAAAAAATTGGTGCATAATACATACTGCCAGTAGCGATGTCCATGCCACTTTTTACAGCAATTCAAATTGAACATTTGGTGCTACCATATTTTCTCTATTAGTGAATAGTTTATTAATAAGTAGCTCATTGAAACATAAAATTCCTTTAACGAATTAAATTGAACAATAAAATGCACTACAAGAAAAAATATCTGTGGTCAATGATTGCCTGCATGCTTACGTGTGCTTCTATTGGAGATGAGCTTCTAAATAAGCAAATACAGTATAATATAATTTTTAGTTTGTTTTGCTTGTAATTTTTAAACTTTTGTTGTTTTTGTTTTTTTGTGTTTGTTTTTTCTGATCTGTATCCTTACCATACAGCACCCATCGATGGTGCAGTTGTTATTATTACAATAGTAGCAAAAATCTGAAGGATTATTTTAATTAAGTTAAATTAATTAAATTATATAATATATAGAACTACCATAGTAAATATTCTGTTATAAAAAAAATAAATGCGATTTCTATTACAAAAAAGATTTAGGAATATCAGCAAATATACAACCTCCATGGAAACCAAAAAGGCCTTGACAAGTTTTAGTTTTATTTGCTGTGTAAAAAAAAATTACTGCTACTATTTTACTGTGGAAAATGATTGATATTATTTTAATGGTTTAATTATTAAATACATATACCCCCCCCCCCATGTAAATAAATATAATTGAATTGTGCACACAAACTGAAATAATACATGGACATAATAAAAAAAATCTCTAGGATAAAATTAAACATCAAATTTGAAACCAATTTACAAAGATATCTGATTTACAAAAAATATTTATTAGTATTTAGGATCACCGAAAGTATGAAATACGAAAATTTGAAACAGAACATTTTGCTATGAATGTAAAAAGGTTGGTTGAACCACAGTCCCTCT